AACCGCAGCCCTAGCAACCTTCCTTTAATTCTCTGCTAACTAGATGAGTGCTGATAAGCAGTGTAAATATGTGCTGAAATCCAATAATGTCAAATCGTACCGCAGGTAGCGCTGGGCATTCCCCAGACATTTCCATGAGCAATATCCGTGCACTTTCAAACCTAAGTATTTCAAATAAAGTGTTCCACAGGACTAAAAATACTCCACCACCTGCGAATTCTATTCCTTTACAAAAGCTATTAGTGGTAGAACAGGCCTGAATTTGAAGATGGCATAAGAATTCCCTTATGTGAATAAATTCCTGGTTTATATGTTAGAAAATGCAGGACTGCGGCATTCTCAGCGCAATCCAGTTCCTTTTTAAGGCACTGAGAAAACAGAAGGTTGACTTTTAAAAAAAGAAATGCTGTCTAAGGCCATGCTGTGATAACGGCCAAGTAGATGACATTATCTATTTTGGGTTTATTATCTATTAAGAAGAGCATACTTCCAAAATATAACAAATTAAAAGGTGACCTCATGGAGAAAGAGGGGAAAAAAAACCCAACTTTGAATCTTTTTACAATATTGCCCAAAATATTGTAAGAACCCCAACAATAGTCTTGGAAAGGAAAGCGCAAACCCAGGCTTCAAGTGTGGCTGAAAGAAATAACTGCAACCACAAACACTGTTGTGATTAGAAAACATGCCTGAGGAAAGCGGAGGCTGAACCACAGAGCTGGTTTATTATTTCAGACCTCATCTACCATTTAATAATGCCGCATCCTTAAAAGTCGAATGATCGGGAACCAAAATAGCATTAGGCTGTCACTGACTTTACTTTTGTTAAAAGTAGTCTTAACCTTAAAATAGAATGTATTCCTGATGACACTTGACTGCTGATTCTCCTCTGATCCAAGAAACCCGTGGGCATTTCTTTCTTGCATTACTTTGGCATGCTCTGTGTGTGAATGCACAGGCTACTGTGAAGTTGATCACTTGCTTCAAGACACAAGAAGGATGGTGAATGGCAGCCCTCACACCCATGGGTAAATCATTCTCTGATCTATTACAAATACTCTGTTTCCTCGTTATCTACATTTCACAGCAGAGCCTGAGTTGGAGATCCCAGGGATAGTAAAAACCAGCTGGTAAAAGAAGCTGACATTGAGACTGAACAGTCTCGTAGCTAGTACTATGTAGGACTAGTCTTCCAACCCTTGCTAACATTGTAAATCTTCAGCATGAGTAGAAATACTAATAATTAACATTCATATAAATTCTTCTAGAATATAATGTTACTTATTTAATCTTCCATTTAGGATCATGCAGATATGAAAACTTCATTGAATTAAATAAATGGACTTCTGTGGCAACAAATATCTCTGCACATATTGGATATACACTACAAATAAGGACTTTTGCTCATTCTAACACCATTTGTTTTTAACATCTGAAAAAATCTGGAAAGGTAAAGTAAGTACTTGATTCTCAGATTTCCTTTGGGCTTCCCAACTAAACCAGACTTATTCCAAACACTAAGGAGTTCTGAGCCATTGCACATTAAAACACAATATTGTGTAGATGTATCACCCTGAGAACATTTGTTCACCACTCCATAAGCGCTCTCTATATGCTGCTGTAAACTCCCTTGATAACCAGTGAGAGTTTAAACCAAGTGAAATCTGAAGAGAATTAAAATCAAATCTTTAGTGCTAATGTAACACCTCTGCTCATACCACAGGAAATTGCTAACACGATTTTCTAAATAGCATTTAAGGACACGGTTGGTTTGGGTTTGGTTTGGGGCTTGTTTTCTTGTTTGCTTGGTGGGTATTTTTAGAAACTTGTCTGGGAGTTTGCATTTAGTAATTAACACATCTTCTGCTTTACAACTGAAGGGATGTTCCTTTGGGAATTAGACATTTTCTCAAGGATATAAAGTAGTGTACAAGAACCTGAGACTATGCTATGGAATACAAATTAAGCGTGGCCTTGGTTAGCTTACCTTGCTTTCAAGTACATTGAGATCAGATTGGCTCATAGCCGGTTCTGCAGCCACCTTTTGTAAGATATATGTTGAATTCTTCTTGCTTTCCAGCTCTCTAGGTAATTTTTCAGTAACCAGGTATGTATTGAAATTTATCTCCTCTTCCAGTTTCTTCATTAAACCTTAAAAGCAAATTAAATCAGTGTGTCTATAAAAGTAACATAGCAGATAATTAAGTCTGATTTCACCAATACATTAAGTATCTAGTAGCAGATTATGATAACAACAGCATAACACTTGAGCATTCTTTTCAGAGCTCAAAGAAACAGGTAGTTACTTGATTTAGATTTTTAATCTGGATGTTAAATAATATAAGTATTATTATCCATCTGTATCTCCAGCATATACCTATTAACTCCTTGACAGAATCTTTTCATCTGCAAACAAGGAAATCCCTTCTTACATGAAATTCCAGCTGAATCAGATGCAAAATGCAACACGCAGCACTGACACAGAAAGCCATTAACCTAATGTGTACCTTACACACATCAACACACTGGATTCTGTGTTACTTGTGTTGTGAATTACATTCTTCTGAAACCTTAAAAGTGAAGAGCTAGACTGTGGCTGCTTATGCAGATGCTGATGAGGGGCAGCAAAGCATATCACAGCTATGCCGTACCCCTTAGAACTTCCCTGGCTGGACCAGGGGAGTGTGCATCCTGAAGCTGGTGCTACTCAGGGATTACAGAGTTCATTGTTTCATGTGAATTACTTCATCTATAGACAGAAATCATCTCAGGGTGAATCCTTTATCTGTACAAAGATCTTAATTTGGCCTAGCTCATGTATAGATTTAGTATATCCTTGGAAAGTCTCCCTGAAAATAAAACTTGATTCCAATCTGGCATCTAAAAAGCCCTTAAAATGAGCAGAATTTAATGTATGCCTACTTTAAGGGTCTTTTGCATTGCTGGAACACTTATAAATTGCCTTCCTGTAAATAGCACACTATTTTTTTCTTGTAAGAACAAGCATTCACTCTCAGGACAGGATATAGACTACGAATGCTGAAAATAACAATAAAATAGAAAAACCAAGAAGGAATTCCTGAGTAGTGATAGAAAAAAAATCTGTTGAGAAAAGCAACTCCATTTGTAAGTCATGCTCTACGCAAGCCCAGTGCACACTGCATGTTACCATGCTTAGGATGACTTGGCTCTTACCAGGTAATTTAGCCTTCATAGCAGATAAATACAGGGACCTACAGGTAAGAACAATACACAGCTAAAAAAAAGTGCAACAGAGATGGAAAAGGAGGTAGGTGAAAGCAGAAATTGTGGTTCTCAGGCTGAAGAGCCTGCTGACCACATCCCTGACTGACAAAAGGAGGAGGTTAGAGCAAAGTGAAATAGAAGCCTAGGAAAATGTGCCCCCAGGGCTTCTAGATCCTCCTCACCCTCTGCTCCCAGCTCAGACTGAAAGGACAGCTACTGGGTTTAGCTGCCAGGGGGGAAATAAGCCATTAGCTCTTGAGAAAGCCTCAAGAACTAGAAGAAAACAGACCCTAGGGGAAGTAGGGTTGCTAACAAAGTCAAGTCAACATAAACTAAACAGGAGTGGGAATTCCTCTTTTCCAGCAGTTTAGTTGGTTGATTTCTGTGTTTATGAAAAGCAACACTGCCACAGGATCTTTTCCCCTTTGTGGAAAAGTCATTTATCTTGTGCAAAACAAACAGCATTGATACTGGTTTCAGAATGGGTTAACAGAATGGGTATGCAAAAGCCATTATGTACATGGCACTACAGCTATACCCTGAGAAACACACCTGGACTCACTGAGATTTCCCACTTCTTTCTTCCAGAAGAACTTGATTCCAGTCTTCCTCAGCCCACAACAGAGCCGGGCATAAGGGACCACATTTTAACATCTCACTAGAGATCTACCCCCTCTGCAAATGCAGCAAAGCTTCCCATGTATGCTGTGAGCAGAATTACCACCCCAGAACTGACAAGAAACACAGTTTGATATTTAAAACCAAGACCTTTGGTGTTGAAACCAAAGTGATATCAATTTAATTATGCTGATATTAAATATTAACATTTTAATCAAACTGATTTCTTCCTTTCCTCTTAGTAGCAAAAGAAATCTGCATCTACAGCCTATACTTTATTTCTTCCACCTCTCCAGTTTCCTTATAAAACTGTACATACTTCTATTTGTTGTAGATATGACACTCAGGAAACAACCACGCCTGAACAACTCCACATGAGAGTGCAGACATATGCCTCCACAGGCTATAGCCTTGATCACTATCTAGATCCATTTCTCAGGTACCTCTGAGCTACTACCAACTCCTTTTACACACTGGCTGGTTCTGCATCACGCTTACTCTTGACGGCTCAGCAAGCAATGAAGCAAGTTAAGACTTGACATCTTTATGGGGAAAGACATGATGATGTCAACATCCCTCATGACTAATGTAGTTTCTTTCCTAACTACTCCAGATATATTTTCCCTCCTATACAATTCAACATCACACAGGGAGAAGTAACTACCTGAGAGCTACGTTTGCTGCTTAACAGAACCTTAAAAAACAAAACGTAGGGCAGGTTTTGGTTTAATCTTTTTCTCATTGAAAAACATTCTTGTTTCAAATTCCCAGGCTGGAGGGAAGAAAAGCAAGCATGCTTTAAACCTTTCCATTACACATATAAATTCTGTTTTTAATGTTTCAGCGTTGACTTACGGTTACAAAATCCACATACGTAAGCTGCACAGAAAGCCTGGCTCTGTGCCCTAAGGTTATTTTAGCAAGGTTCTGCCAACCAAGTATTTACATGTGGAGAGATACTAAGAGCAACTCATGTTTTCCATTCAGATTTTTTTGTTATTATTATTACAAAGAGAGGGATGGGAGAGGAGTTTCTTCATGCTTGCTCAGTCACGTAGAAAAGAGGCAATTTTCTATGCATAATTCTGCTAATAGATCTAAAACCATTCTATGAAAACTTGATTCACTTCTTTTCCCTCTTCAGGCTACCAATTGTGTGCATCCTGTATCAAAACTATTTGCAGCAATAACTAATTTTAAACCAAGAAAAAAAGGGGACAGTGCAAGAAGAGCACTCATTTCATAGACTACCTGCCAACACTTTAAGACACATAGGAAGGCACATCTAGAACAAACTTCCACATGCCATTCACTTCCATCAAAGCCTTCCCTTCCCTTTCTGCAACCACCCTTGCTAAGAGAGTATGTAAATTATTCCCTCCACAGCTTCCAGTATTTAGCAGAAGGAAACTGGAAGTGATATCAGAGGCCTGGCACATGCAAACACTGACAGGTTATGATCAAAATCTCCTTGAAGATATCTCCTTGAAGGACTAAAAAGCTTCCAGAATTTGCCTTTGTAAGTTATTCTTCCTATGCTTATCATTATTGATGGTCTTCAAAAATCTCTCTGACCTTTCAACGTTCTTCCTGAACTCTGTTCAATGGACAGTGTTGCAGTGATGAATACTTCAGAGCTAAGAAGAGGTAACATAACTCTCCCACTGCATTTTCTTCCAGAAATAAATATATGGATAGCACCACATCTTTCAGACTGTTCTCCCATTTTATACTATGACCCACAAGTCCTTTTCAGAGTCACTTCTTAGGAAAATGTCCCACATGCTATAATGACATCCTAGAGGAATACTGTGGCATTCTGCTATTCCTTAAAATACATACTGTTGGCACCGACTTGGCTTCCTAAGTGATTAAGGTCACTTCGAATCAACCGTCTCCTCATTATTCAGTCATTGCCCCTATTTTTAGTTCTCCTGGCTATCTCACCAGACCTCATCTGCTGTTTTCTTTCAGGTGTCCAGTGTAAATACTAAACAAAAAAGAGCCCCACACTGATTTCTGCATGTCCCAAGTAGAAACGCATCCACTCGGTGATGATTCCCTGAGCAATTCTCTTTCTAAAACCTTCAACAAACCCCTTTTAATCCTCTTAACAGAGCCCATGTTGAATTATGCTGCTTTGTTTGTTCTTCAAAATAGGGTGCCAGTTAAGAGTCAATGGTCTTAAAGAAGTCAGCCATAGCAATACTATGACTCTGACCAACCAGGCTTGAATTCTCATCAGAGACATCAGGTTAGTGTAAAAGTGCTTTAACTCCTGAGCTTGTATCCATTGACAGTGACTTTATAATAAAGAAATCATTTCAAGATGGAAATAGCGTTCCACCTAAGCCATTCTCCTTTACCAAACACATCTATAATATACCACGACAATGGTATCTTTGAGGTTCTCAGTGCTCTAGATCTATTACTACATATTAACTTAATGAAGTATAGAAATTACACATTTCACTGTTTATCAATAACCACCTTAATACATTCTTTTAATCAATATTTTCCAGTCATCCACTTCTTCATATTTCTGCCAATAAAGTGAACAATCATGTCCTATAAAATGACCAAAGATCAAGAATTTCAGTAATTCTGATCAATTCTTGGCATTAAACATTTCTGTTTGTGCCAGCAGAGATATTCAAAGCGAAAAGAAGGGAATCTTGCTGAGGAAGCACGAGCTAGGTTATGCAGACAAGTGGTCAGTGCTAATAAAAGTGCTATTCATATCTGGAATAATAAGACTACCAAAAAAAATTCCCAGAAACTCTAAATTCATGTTACTGCTATCAACAGCAACTGCCTCTCTGTAGTTAAATATACTGAGTAGTACTGAAAAACCACCAAGGAGTCTGCTGTGGAAACCAGTATGATCAGCCTTAGTCCAAAAAGCATTTCAAAACAATCACCTGGTTTTCATGATACAATACAAAGTCTTCTAAATATTCTATTTCCAAGAGTTACAAACCTACTAACCATAAGCTGTACTTTCCTGGCTTAGCTAAAGCAGACTGATGCTAATTACATACAAATGATACTCATCAATATGTGCTACTTGCATTCCTTTTCATTTCTTTAAAGTACTTCATCCTAACTTAATTATAGGATGAAGTGATCAAAGCAGCATCTGTAAGCCACAAAAAAGCTTTTATTCATTATCAACAACTTCTATCATTGTGTCTTGCTTTAGAAGTAAAACCACCTGAAGTATTATAAAATCATTTTAAAGGAAAGTCTAAATTCCAGTGAAAATCCACACCTACCAAGCATCTCCTGACCTGTCAGCACACAACTTATACTGACCTGAGCAGGCAGCTGAGGGACTAAACTACAGCCAGAGGGAGTTTTTAAAGGAAAATAAATTGTGTTAACTGTAGCCCAACAAAGCTTTTAAAATAAATGGGATCCTGTTCAGTGCACTGCGGTCACCTCATTTCAATTATTTCAAACACACAGTTGGCATTCTGCAATTGCTACTACAGGCTTTGTCTTTGTAACGACTACAGAGAAAAGCAGTTGCAGAGCAACTTTGTTTGGGCAACATTTCAACACAAGTTTTCTTGAGTAATGACTCTGAATTTTTCTTCAGAACATCCAAACACTTTTTCCCCTGCAAGCAGGACTCAAGATAAGGAAATTAAATATGTTAACTTTATCTTTATTTTCATCTCAACGATTAAATGACATATTTACTGCCTTTTATTATGTTACCTTTGCTTCTGTGAACTGAACCCATCAAGTTTCCATTGGCCTTAAAAAGAAAACCCAGGAACTGAAATAGAACTGTTGACACAGCTTTGCTGTATAAACTCTTTGATACCTACTGCAAAAATGGAACAGTTACAAAATCCACTGCAGGTCCCTTGGAGTAGAGAAGATAGTTCAGATACTCTTAGTTCAATCTGTGCTTCAGCAGCTGATGAGCATCATAAAAGAATTAAAGTAAAATCACAAAGTAACAGCAATGCAACGTGGTGGTGATGGAAAAATCTCTCTAACTCAAAGCGGCTGCCAAAGCAGTTATGTGATGCAATGGGAATATTAACTACACCTGAAAGAGGAGGACAATGACTTACTTTGTGCAGTTTAAATCTATAGACAGATTCTATAATTTTGGATGTAATTTATATGTATAATAAAAATCATTCTATGGCTTTTTTTTTACCACAGCAACTTCGAATGCAACTGGAAAAGCCCTGAGAAAGTATCATTCTGAGTCTTACACCTCCACGCTACTTTACATGCAGTAAAGTATTTGCCTATAAATCAACTCTAATCTCTGTATGAACAGCACATAAAACATCTATTGATCCTGTGATGTGTTATTAGCGACTAAGTGCAAGAGACAGGCTGAAGGGGGGTAAGTGATTTGCCAAAGATCCCATACATCTGAAGCACCGAACCCTAACCTGACTCCCAGTTTTGCTGTCAAGGCAAACTGCCAGGCTAATCCTTCTTATATTTCCCTCAAAGTGATTAAACCAGCAGAAACCTAGATATTGTCAAATCTTAGCCCTTGGAGACAGTTAGTTATGCATTTATCTAGTAACTGCAACTCCTTCCCACCTGCTATTTTGATAAACAATCGTATAATACTAACTTTCTCTACAATTACTATAATTTATTTGCTGAGGTGATTTGCAAACTGAGGTATCACTGAAAATGAGGAGAAAAAATCTTGCTGTTTTACAAGTGCCTGTAGTGATAGGGCAGGAGGTGATGGCTTTAAACTGAGAGGGGAGATTGAGATGAGTTCTTAGCTCATCTCAGCAGAAGTTCTTCCCTGTGAGGGTGGTGAGGGTGCCCAGAGAAGCTGTGGCTGCCCAATCTCTAGCAGTGTTCAAGGCCAGGTTGGACAGGGCTTGGAGCAACCTGCTCTAGTGGAAGGTGTCCCTGCCTGTGGCAGCACGTGTGCTGAAGGTCCCTTCCAACCCAAATCAGTCTGTGATTCTGTGATTAATGTAAAACAGCAACAGACAATCAGCTACAATAGTGTAATGAGAACAAAGTATTATCATATGTAAACAAATATATTTATATCTAAATATACAGGCTTCAATAGATAGATATATCTAGTAAAATATTTATAAACATAATCATAAGTAAGTGTATGTATATATATAAAAACCACGATCTATAAAACTGCCTAATTAGAAAGTAGTTTTATTTTTAGTACCATGCAAACCTACAACACAAAATTGCACTACAATGAGAAAGAGGCCTTAAAGCTTTCCAAACTTTCAAAGTATTTATAGGAGGTAACTAGAAGAAACAAACCTACACTGAATAAACCAAAGTATTTTCATGTATCTGTATATTCATTGAGGAAAAAATATTCAGAAGCAGCATTTCACCAACACCCAATTACAAATATAAAAGGCATAAAACCTTCGGGAAGACAAGCTCCTGATTTAGTAAGTGGTTTCTGATTTTTCCAACCCCTTGTATTTCCAGCTGTGGGTTTTTTTGCAAAGTATTACAGTCAGTATTCAGTATTTAACTGGTTTAAAGCTTTTTTAAGAAGTGGACCTCAAAAATATAATTGATATCATCTTCCCCTGTGATTGTTTCCTTGGCTTTTTGTAGCAAGGCATATTCAGCCTTAGCATCTCCACCATGTGACTTTAGAACATGAGCTGTTTCTTTCCTTAGATCCTCTTAAGTTCTGTACACTTTCTGGCATTACCATATTACTGACAGCAGCCAATTTTGATTTCATTTCTAACAGAGAAGTGTAAACCCCCAGCCTTTATAGATTACTACTTACCTTCAGGTTTTGAATCCCCTGCTGCATGAAGCATTTCTTTCAGCTGGAGCTGTGCTCTTTGCAATCTCTGCTCTGCACGGAACAACTTTGGAGAGAGAATGGGACACAGATAAGCTCATTCCTTTGAAATGCATATTCAAACACCTAAAAAAAAAAAAGTACAAAAAAAAAAATCCCAAATATAAAAAATGATAGCTATGAACATCTGCTGATTGTTTCCCAAGGGAATGTGCCAAAACAAATTCTCAGCAATTGGCCTGGCTTTACTCGATATTCTGTAGTGTTCATGGAGGATTCTTGTTCTCCCAAGTGGTTTCTTCTCTATGGCAGAAATTCATTGCTTAATTTTCAACCAAAAATACAAGTAGCTTCAACATCAGAACAACAACAAAAAGACAGCAAGACTCAGGATTGCAGCAGCTAACTATCCTTGTACTGCAGTTCTTGCAATGCAGCTGAGTTGTCACAGAGATCCACTGTCCAACCTGAGCACACTGGGAAGCTTGATGCCAGGTAACACCCAGCTGATGATCGTTTTTGTGATTCAGATGACACCCATCAAGAACTGGAATCAGCTGGACATCACATTCATTTACTTGTGATCTCACCCAGGTTCAAGCAAAGACTCAGCAGCTTGACAACCAACTGATTCACATGGATTCCACATCCAGATATAGAATGCAATACTATGTGGGGATTTCCCCTTTTAATACAGTGTTGAAGTTAATGCTACAGAATTTGGGAAGATGATATGTCAATATTGCACTGGATTTATAAAAGAATCTTGTTTTGACAACATAGCTGGGGAATTTGGATGTTAACTGCTTCCAGTGTTTCCTAGGACAATCTTTTTGTCAAACTCAGGGACCAAAATCCCAAGGTTGCTCCTGCATCAATATTCCCACCCAGTGAAAAGCTGAGGTACTTGCTGTGTTCCTCAGCCCTTGAAATCTTGGTACAGATGCAGAGATACAAATCTAAGGAAACATTTGCTCACTCCCATAAATATAAAGAATTCTCTTTGGGTGCTACAACAGTAAGTCATGGAACATATCCTGGGACTGCTACATGATGGTATCAGTGGCAGCTGAAGCAGCCAAGTTCTTTGAATGAGGTCTGTGGATCTTGCAGGGTCAAGCCTCTTCCCTTAAAATGTACATAGATATTTTAAATGGGATTTAATTTTCTGGTGCTGGGAGAAACACTGGATTGTTGTTCCTGATGTACTTTTTTAAATGCATTACTCCCAAACACATGTCAGCCACTATTTATTTTAACAGGTATGCTTTTATGGCAGTACCTGATTTTTTTGTTCCTGCTTCTGTTGAGCCAAAGATTCTTCTCTCTCTTTTTCTACACGAAGCTGTCTTGCTATTTCAAGAATTCGTGGATGATTTTGTACTGTCTCCACCTACAGCAAGTGGATAAATAGTGCATGTTACTGTCAGATAGTTGAGAAATACATTAAAGAGATCATGTGTTTCACAGGCTCACTGCGCACTTCCTTTCCATACATGTTACTACTCAGAAATGACAGCAAAGTTCTGGACCCAAGATTCTTAAGAGCTCTGGACTAACGCCTAGGGAGATTCTCTGTGGGTCAATTAGTTACTTGATTCCTTCCTAGACATAGAGTATGTTTATCTTAATCCTTGTTTGCATTCCAAAATCAGAGTTGCAAGCCAAGGACTATGACACTGAAACGTAATAGTGTCACTTCTCTTACTACCCTCTTCTTAAGACGTTCCACTCTTTTGACAAGTTGATCTTTCTCCTCTTCCATTGCATCAATGTCCTAAAAAGCAGAAAAAAAATAGATAAAGAAATGTTAATTTATTTACAGTATCATACGGATTGGACTAAATTCTGTTCAAATTAATATGAAAATCAGAATTCTTCTCTGAATACACTGAAGTGGTTATAATTTTATTGATCTATGATCACAACATGCAGGATCCCAATCTCTCTTCTCTCTTCCCCCACAGTTCCCACTCTGTTTCTGCTGACATTGCTTCATCTGCACTTTCCATTATTAATGTGAACATTTAAAATAAAAGCAGGTGGATTTCTCCAAACTAAAACCAAACAAACAGAAACCACCTTGCAAAAATCAGTATCAATTCAATACCTCATGCAGTGTAACGTATGGTTCTTAATGTTAGAACAACTGGCACATGATTTTGCATGAAGTTGCAGATGAGTGATGTTTGCTGACACTTTGTAATAATATTGTGTTAGAAGAAATACTTTATAGTGCTAAAACATGTATTTAATTATTATTCTCCTATTTTACAGCAGCAGGGCTCCACAAACTGATAGTTGTAAGAAAAAAGGAAATAAATTCTCCAAATTTAGACCTCATCTCAACATTTGCTTAACTTCTCTGTATGTCTTATTGAAGAGTGTGTAAAGCTTTTCAGTATTTTGCTGAAACAGGGCAAATCTTGTTGCTTAACACCTGGGCCACACAGGATCATCATTTTTATTGACTTAAGCTCTTAATTCATTCAGCTCCCTCTGAAATTATTACCCTGCATCAGTAAAGCAAACAGCTTTGTAGCAGTTTGCATTCAGAGGAAAGGGAGTTCTAATATTTGAAAATCCTGCTGAACAGAATCTTGGCAGCCTTGGTTCCCAATCTGCTTCAGAAAGCTCAGCTCTAAGCACAAGTGAGGATTTGCTAAGCTGTTTGCCAACAGAGAACAGTTTCAAAAGGCAGCTGCAGTGCCCACCAACTCTGACCTCTACAACTTGCACTGCAGTGAGTCCATAAACCCAACAAAAATAGAACTACTGACATACCAAAAAACCCTAACAAAAAAAAAGTTGTGTGATTTTGTCAGATTTTTTTACCCTTCTTATTTCTGCAGTAGATAAACCAGATGTTTTGAGCTGCTCACACTCCTTATGTAGGTTTTTAAATGCTTCCATCAGTTCTTCATACTATAAAATGAAATAAAAACCATGCAGAATGAGCTCTCTTAAGGATTTTCAGATCAACATGTTGCTTTACTACTAAGACAGTAAATATTTAAAAAGAAGTATGATGAGTACAAGAATTAAAGGTATTTTTTCCATCACAAAAGCTTGTCAACTTATAAAGCAAACCTAAAAAAAAAATAGTGAATTATCTTCTACTCGAAGGTACACTCAGAAGTTTCACAATTTCTTTGGTATTTTCACCTTATAATATGCAGTGTATTTTCAAAACAGGAAGATAAGATGTTATCTGAAAGGGATGATGCTATATTAACAAATTATTCTCTCTTACTGTGTGTATATCACATACATAAATTTATCAGCCCAAAAAGGAAGAGTTTGATCCCACAATATACTTGATCAAAGCAACGGGGCTTGAATTTAGAGAGCACTGAGCTTCAATCCATCAAAGCAGTCCAAGAGCACACCCGACTTAACACGTGAGAAACAGTTTTGACACATTGCATAATCATGCCCTCAGTATATTACAGAGATTTATATATGCAGTTCAGTGGTTAGAAAGAAGTAGACAGTGTGCTACTTCCACACCAGTACAGTGCCCACCAGTAATCTTAAACTGAGAGGCAGTGTGAAAGTCTGTGTGGGTAGAGAAATAACAGGGGACAGAAAGAGTTTAGAACTATGGATAGGAAATAAATTTAGATTTAACTTGGGAGAAATGCAAGCTGAGACACAAGGAAAGATAATCTCCACAGAAACAGCCATTCAGTGAGATGGAAAAATCTAAAAAGAGAAGATCAAGTCATTGCTTACTTCCTGGAAAGAGCAATTGATATGAATGTTGAAAATAAAATGGCAATGGCCAGTTCAAACAAAGACATCCCAGCTATGTGTGGTGAAGCAGCAATTCTATTCTATAAAACCCTAGGGAACCAGCATCTAGAATGCTCTGCTCATTTCTGGTTGTTTTAATATCAACACACTGATAAGCTGGAATGAATGAATGAATGAATGAAAAAACCCCAACAATAAAATGGCTACTGAGAAGAAGAT